CCCAATTTTGTATGAATACCCGTGCGCCGCGCGGGTTTCCAGACAGCGACACTACAATGGATGCAAAGTTGGAAGAAAGCATGACTCCCGCCATGATGCTGTCAATTTTTATGGGAGCGCTCCACGGGGCGCCTGTCTTCACCGATGGCTTCACCGCTGACGTGAATACGGACCATAAACGCATGGAGTTGGCAATGTTGCTGGCCGTCGACTCGGATGGTGGATGTGCCTTTGCAGGACAGGATGTACGCTGGAGCGGACCTTGCCGTGATCTGCAAGTATGAAGCGTTTGGTTAGTCTGTCGGGTTATGATTCTTGGAGTTTACTTTCTTCAACAATAGTTTCTTTCTATTTCTTCAGCAAAAATTCGTTAGCTGCAGCATTAACCGTGAAACATTTAAAAACAAATATGATGGATGGAATGGAAAGCATTGATCTAGCGTCATTCAGCTACAACATCTTAGTCATATTGATCAATGAGGACCACACACAAGTGCACAACCAGCGGTGAACGCGCCTTTCAACCGCTGATGATGAATAAACAATAAAAGCACCTCCGGTCAGAGTATATTGGTCATCCGGATGCAGCGATGCCAGAATCCAATCGAAGCCGCGCTGGTTATCTTTGTGATGCAGCCCCCTCAGTACCTCATAATCGCGCGGATCCATAGCGCGTAGCGAGTGGTCTCTGGAAGTGATGAGCGGCTCGTTGCCGCCATAGCTCACGGACGTGGCCTGTTCAGAATACATCCCGAGTAGCTCCAGGACGCAGTGTCTCGTTCTTGTGTGCAGAAGCGCGTCGATCTTCCTGGTGTGCATTGCATACTGCATGAAATCGGCGCCTGCCCCCGACGGCGATGCGATGTCGCTACAGCTCGACACACAAGTCAACGACTTCAGCCGCACACCTCGCACAGCGTCCCAAACTCGCAGACTTCAGTCGGACGATCCGTGATCACTTCGTACGACGCCATGGGCGAGCGTTCGGCCTCCAGCACCTTGCCCTTGCGTCGCATCAGCGTCTGCATGACTCGTCCTCCCCGCAACGTACTTGCGGTCGCATCTAGTGCCCAAGCACCAGCGCACCGTCCTCACACTCTGTACTGACCCAGTGCTCTTAGCGGCGCCGCAGCCTCAGCCTCCTGAGCGCGCAACCTGCCATCGCTGCTGCTGTCGACCAGGACCTTGCCCAACGCGTTAAAGTTGTACAGAGTTCACCGTGGTGGTGTGATCGTGGATAGCGTGTGCTGCGCGCGTCACCAGCTTGTCGACTGCCTTGTCGTCGACACGCATGTGGCTTAAGCACTCGGTCGCCATATGGCGTGGTCCACACAGGCAGTTTATCAGCGTCGTGGGGTGTGGTGTACACAAATAGCTGTGCAACACAAAAATATATACATACGTGACGTTACATGTCGTCGTCATGCGGCAACAAGCAAAATTTTCTCTTCGTTCAAACTTCAAATTATGCTTAACTTGTGTATTAAATAAAGAAGGAACATAACCACTTTTGGAGTTGACATGTCCTTGGGTAATGTATACTTCTTGGCACTTACACCGCGGCTATCGGAGCGCTCACGTGCTGGTGTAGGCAAATTATATATTTTTCACATGAAGAACAATCACATAGCACGGATACGTGTTAGCTTAAGAAAGAGATGTGCAGTAGGGGAGGATATTGTTGCTAATGCTTTTAGAAATCTTCAGGGCCCATTCAATCCGCCCTATTCCCAAGTACCCAACAAATTAATTTAATTTTCTCTTTGGTTACCGAAAACGGGTAACGAAGTGTTTTTTT